TAAGGAAGACAAATTATAAAAAGTTAGGTGACACATTTAAGGTCCTGAAGAGGAATAAAGCATGCGAGTTGGAGAAAGAGTTTACTAAGGGAGAAATGTGGTAAGCCATTAACTCATGTGGTGGGAATAAGCTTTGGAGCTTGACGGGTTTAGCTTGAATTTTTTTAAGAATCAATGGCAGGTGATTAAAAAGGAGTTAATGAGCTTTATAGGAAATTTTTTGAGACTGGGAACATTGATGGATATGATAACGTCATGTTTATCACCCTTATACCTAAATGCAAAACCACGAAAAGCATCAATGATTACCGATTGATAAGTCTAGTGGGAAGCATCAAAGGAAGACAGTTAGTAGATTGTACTCATATAGCGAATGAAGTGGTGGATATCATGAGGAAAAATAGAGAGGGGGGACTATTTTTTAATAATGATTTTAAAAAAACTTATGATATGGTCAGTTGGGACTTATTGGATTTTGTGTTAGGAAATATAAGGTTTGAGGAGAGATGGAGAGGTTGGAATAAAGTGTGCATTTTTACAACTAAAATTTCAGTTCAAGTGAATAGGGTTCCTACTATGCAATTTATGATGAAGTGGGACTAAAACAAGGATGCCCATTCTCCTTTTTTCTTTCAACTATGTAGCCAAAGCTCTGAGTGTTCTTATGAGTGAGTCGGTTAGATCAAGAGAATGTAAAGAAATTGATATTGAAAATACCTTCCACTTGTAATTTGCAATGATATAGTGATTATGTGCATGCTAGAATAGAATTTGATCAAGAATGTGAAGTAGATTTTGAGGAGCTTCCAATTAATCTTAGGTTTACACATTAATTTCTAAAACAATAGTCTTTTTAGAGTAGGTCTTGAGGACAAGTTGGTAGAGGAATGGGAAAGTAAGATTGGATGTAAAAGGGAGAGATTCCCTTCTAAATACTTAGGTCATTTCATAAGGGTTAAAACCAACTCGATGGAGATGTGGAGACTAATGGTGAAGAAATTTAAGAGTAGATTAATGGGATGGAAAGGTAGGCTACTATCCTAGGGGGGTCATGTTACACTTATTAAGTCGATCTTTACTAGTCTACCAATCTTTTTCATGTCTTTGTTTAAAATGCCAATAGGGGTAAGTTAAAAGTTGGAGCATATCTAAAAGAGATTTGTAAGGTGTAGGACATCAAAAACTAGAAGGATTCATTTTATGAATTAGGGATCAATTTGTCCTTATAAGGAATTTGGTGGACTTGGATGGGTTGATCTTCAAACAAAAAATACAAGGTTACTTAATAAATGGATATCGATATATGGGAATGAGCAAAATAGCTTGTGGATGTGGGCATTGGCAGATTAAGAAGAGAGTGATCCTCATGGGCTAATCCCAAGTCTAGGAAAATTGAATAAGCAATCCTTCATTTGGAAGAATATAGTTAAACCTATTAGAAAATGACAAGAAGGTAACTCGGTCATCTTAGAAACGTTAGGCTTCATTTTAGGTATAGGGGAATGTTCTGATTTTTAGAATAAATAGTGGATTGAAAGGTATATTCTACGATAGGCATTCCCCAAGATTTACTCACTCGCCATTAACAGAAGTGGAAAAATGAAAGAGTTTGACCAGTAGGGGGAAGGGGAATGGAGATGGAGAATGGAGTTGTAAAGAAATATATTTGGGTGGGAAAAGGAACAATGGGAGCAATTACTTATGATCATTAATCAAAATCTTGTGGCGAAAGGGCATGAAGATACAATTGTATGAAAGTGGAGGTCGAGTGGAGAATACTCAGTGAGTTCGTACTGTCGATTTATGGCTAAAAAGAGAAGAGTTTGGAATGAACATTGGAGGAAGGTTTGGTTAAGTATTGCCCCAAGAAAAGTTGAAATTTCTATTATAGAATGCTTAGGGGTAGGCTAACCGTTAAAGTTAAGTTAGTTAAAAGAGGCTTACTTATAGTAGACTCGGCAATGTGTGTCCATTGTAGGGTTGGGGAGGAAACAATGGACCATCTATTTTTTTGGATTTATTGAAAGTTAGAAAGTTTGGTCGGGGTGGACCAATTTGAGGGGCATTAAATGGGTGGCACATTATAAAGCTATAATCTTCTTCCCTGATTGGAATGAACTAGTCCTAAAGGGAGACAAGAGAGTATGGCACATGGCCTTCTATGCTATCACTTGGTCTATCTGACTAATAAGGAATGAGGTAATGTTTCGTGGTAAGATGTGAGATATTGACCAATATCTTAATTTAGTTAGAGTACGAGTAGCATGGTAGGCAAAGGCAAAGTGGCTAAGAGATTTTCATCAACTAGACAATACTATTAGGTGTCCTAAATTTAAACACCGCTTGCCAGTAAAATAGCCAAGACAGGGAAGAATGTGGAGTGGGAACCACCCAACAGGGAATGGCTTAAATTCAATGTAGATGGAGTAGCTAGGGGGAGCCCAAGTCAAGCTACCATAGGAGGAATATTGAGAGATAAAGCAGAAGCCGTGAAACTATTGTTCTCAAAACTTGTGAGAGTCATTAAAGCTAATGTAGCTAAGGTGTTGACAATTAAAGAAGCTTTCAAATTGTTTGCCGTCTCAAAATGAGTACGGAGTCACTTCCTAATCATTGAGAACGATTCGAATAATATTGTCACTTGGATCCAATGACTCTTGGTCTTTATTGCCAACGACTTTTGCACGGCCTCTTTTGTGAGTGTACAAGTTTACAATGCCCAAACCATTTCAATATATGTCATGAAAAATCTTAAAATGACACATAAATCATTAAAACTAATAAAATCATTTTTTTTAAAAAAACGTGACAACATGATCATTAATTTGATTTTTTCGTATAAAATAAAATAATTTAATTTTTTTAATATTTAAACCTATGTATATTAACCTTAATTTACACTGTAAATTCGAAGTCACAAATACGCTAAAGCAGTTTTCTCTTGTATGAAGTTTGGACACGGGTCCCTATCATGTCCTTTCGCCCATTATGCCCAACCCCCTCCCCTACTTGCTTTTGAGATTTTGTTCTTTTTGTTTGACCATACCATCAATTATCAAGAATCGCACTAATTATCTTGCTTTGTTATCATCATTCATCAAGTTGCAGCTTTGTAATTTGCACCATCCTTGAGATGACATCCAGAATCATGTGCATGACGATGTCCCTTGCTGAAGGATAACTAGACAAATAAAGCTGACAAGTCTATTCGGTTTCTTTGATAATCAACAATCGTGATGGTTCAATAGGATCTTTGTTTGTTTTCCGTTGCCTTCATATATATATATATATATATAGATGGCAGAATTAATTCAATGCCAAGAAGTAAAGTTTACGGGCTCTTAAACATTACAGAAACTTATAATTAGGTTGTCATTTTTTTTACTTTATTTTGCTTGGCTTTCATTTTTCCAAGGCATCTAGCAATAATAGTTATTAAAACACTCAACATCTAAATATTTTATTTAATGATCATTGTGCGTATATTTCTTTTAAAAATATTAAAAAGTTCAAATCTTTCCTGTACAAAAAATATATTTGACAAAAAATTATATAATTGAATATTAAATTTTAAATATCACAATCAATCGCAACAATGAAGAAATTAAGTCAAAAAGATCAAGCCATGACGAATTAAATAAATATTTTGATGGGTATATTAGTTAAATGTAAATTATATAGATGTCATTCACATATATTTAAATTGTACGTTTGGAATAATAAAATATGTTTTATGTGATTGGGGTTTTGTCAAACCACTGTAGGACATGATCTTCAATAATTCTTTTAGTTTGAAATTTACCCACCACTTGTTCTGCATTTGATTGAGGATCATTTTTTTATATGAATATTCTCTTACGAGGTGATACAGGAATTATAAAATTCGTAGAGATTCCAAGTTTAGTGAAATAATTAAATCTCTCTAATTATTGAAATTGACTCTACCATTTCAAGAGTTTAAATGAGAGTTTCTTCCTTGGACTAGGAAAGGATTAAAGCCAATTCTGGGGATTGGTAAAGGGGTTGAATTCATTCTTGAATTGCCTTCATTTGATATTTTATTGAAAGGGAAACTTTTAATTTTGAGGTGGACCCTTAATTGTCTTTCCGTCTATTTCCTTAAACCACAAATCTCGTTTTCAGGATTTGATATGTCTTTTCAATCAAACAATGAAATGAATTAAATTCTCATATTACATAATTTATTTCAAAATTAAATTATGTCCAAAATTGTTTATCATCCAGAAAAATTTTGTCCTGATATAATATCATTTTAGAGTTTTGATTGATTATCAACAAATTTTAAAAAAACATGTAAATTTGATTTATACGAATTATTATTATATAAAAATTAAAATACAAAAACTAAAAACATAATTTAATCTTTCTAAAATAATGTCACGAAGCTGAAGAAATTTTTAAGAATTTTACGTCTTCCTCTGCCATGATTGCCCTAATCAAAGATGGTCAAAGATTTCAAGTTACCACAATATTAAAGCTGCGCAATCCATTTAGCTAGATTCTCAGTTAGGGCCTTTTGAGTTGAGAGAATTTTTCTGCTCAAATTCTCCCCAGAAAAATTTTCTTTCTACCATTGCCTCTGAGAATTTTTTGGGCCAATCATTAAGTTAGATTTGGGCCTGTGAGGATTTTTGGGCCCATAATGGGAACAAACTAATGTTGTATATTTTGTGTTTTTTTGGGCCCCAAAAAATTCTCTAAGGCCCATCTTAATTTGTTCATAAATTGGAGCTGTTAAATTGTGCATTTCTATACTATCATTATTTTGTGTAAATTAATAATTATATTTGATTTATTATTACTACTGCTATTTACTATAGTTTGTTTTAATTTAAATTTATTATTTTGTTATTATAATATTGTTCAATTAATAATTATTATTTTTGTAAACATTCGAAAAACAAAAGTGACCCATGCGTCGAAGTAGGTCACTCGTTCTAGTAAATATAAAAGTACAATAAATATGGACTCTCCACTTTTAAGAAGGATTCGAAATCCACGCTGTGTTAAACGGATAAGTTGCAGTCGTATGTTACAAGTTTGAAGGAGGGTATGACGTGGCTTTTAAAATGAGAGCAGGTGCTCAAGCTTAAGTGGAGTGGCAAAGTAAAAGGAAAAATATTGGCCGTAGGCAGTAGCAAACCGTCGCGTCTCCGTTGACTCCAGTGGCCATCGGATCTACTCATTCTGGCTGCAACACTCTCCCATCAACATCGAACTTGGAGCTTCGAGCCGCCACTGAAATAATCAGGTAATTTATTCATTAAGTAGGATCTGCAGCAATCCGCATGCATAGATACCAATTTGTAGATGACCTGTTTGAGAAATTGTCCGCAAGAATGCTAGTCTCAAATAATCATTTTATCCAATACAATGCACTACACAAATAATCGTTAGGATTCGGCGCATATTTCCCTGATGCTATGGCTTCTACTTGAACAGACACATCTGAGAGAGGGGGACTCTAGGTTGCCTGCTCCTTCTAAAATGATAAATGCGTTGGTTCTGCCTAGCAAAGTATGTACCTTCTTTGTTATCCACTTCCATCCTTTTTTTTTTCTCATATTACTTTTCCTTCTTTTCGTAAAATTAGAAAAATAGGAAAACATCTTCGCTCTGAATGTTTTTGCAATCTGATACTACAGCTGTTTTGGGATTTTGAGAGCAAAGGAGGTTGACGAGATTCATTTGTAATGCTCTGTTCACTGCTTTAATCAGGTTTACTGATCATTGATAAAATCAGCAAAGTGATGATAAAACCAGTAGAAGAATGAAGGGAAGGTCGAGAGACAATTGAGAGAAAAATGATTTCCCATTACTGAACAAGCAACTAACTAACATTGAAGAT